ACCGGGGTAGGTGTGGCCTGCTGGGCTGCCAGCGCCCATGGCTGGCTCATGGCCAGATTTTCATCCATCCAAAGCATTTTGCACTGCTTTGAACCTGAAGTGGTTTAACCTGGCATGTTGCATTAAACCTGAGATCTTTAATTGTTCCTTTGCATTGGGGTGATCCTGTAAGAGCACCTGTGACCCCCCATAGCTTTCTTTTGCTTGTGATCTGGGACTGCAGATATTCTGCTGAAACTCCTGATGGACCAGCTGAGCCCCGGCATGGTGGAGCTTTTGTGGACCTATTCTGTGGACAATAATACAAGCAGTGTGATCTCAGGACTGTCATCTCCTGCTAAAGCAGCGAGGATGGTGAGAGCAGCCTTGCTGCAGCAAGGGTGAAGAGGTGTCATGCTGTGGAGGTGCAGTGTTTGGCTGTGAGCCTCTGGGAGATGTGGGAGAGGACCACGGGTGCCACCAGCCCAGCAAAACACCCCAACAGAAATCAATGAGTGTATTCTCTGCCATTTCCATTGTCTTGCGTGAGACTTACTCCTAAAAAGTGAGTTATGTTACTTACATTAAAGATGGACTCAAATTTAATCAAGTGGAAAACCAGTTTTTACCACCTTGTGAAATGAGTACGACAGGCGCTTAAGAAAGACCCTGTAGTGACTTACGATCTGGTTTTAAGGAATTTCTGCAGGTGTCAATGACTCTTGTTTGAAAGCACCTGTGGGATCTCCATCTCTCTCTCTGCCCAGGAAGATGATGGATTTTGCTGTTTTCTGCCCAGCTTGGACCCGTGCCCTCAGTTACGTGTGTTGCCTCTTCACCATCTGCTCTGTGCCGGAGGAGCCCGGGTGGCACCGGCAGGATGATTTCTTCCTCCAAATAGCAGCAGTTAATAATATCAACCCCTAAACTGACTCCGGCAGGTTAATGGGAATAATCCCTCCTTCTCTTTCCTTCCCCCATAAGCTCTCCCTGGCTTGAGTAATACCTGAGCCAGGCAGGAGGTCTCCAGCATCGCGTGCTTGGCCGCGTGCCTCGGGCACTGCGTGCTTTGCTTCTCCTGTTGGGTTTGATCTGGAGCTGCGTAAAGCCTCAGACGTGCTTAAAATGAAAACGGGTTCTATTTGCGCAAAGCAAAAGGATTAAGGTGTGGGTGCAAAATGGGAAATGTAATTATAAAATGAAGGCATTTAGAAAGCAAAGAGGAAGCGAGTTTAAGCTTAAACCCTACATGACACAGGCCTGTAGTCTTGCATAATCTTTGTGTTCGGTTTTGCTGTACCTCACCCCAGAGAGAGCTCCCCGTAGCAGGTATCTTATTTTTTTTTTTTCTTTAATTTAGTGGTAATCCAGTCCTTTTGGTCATTTGAGGGTGTCCAACCCCAGGACTAACCTGTGTAGATAAGGATGAAAAGTTCACTAAATCAGGCTGCTCCAGAGCTAATCTGAGCATGGAAAATCCTCTCATCACAATTTCCTTCTTGCTCCTGTCTTCAGGAGCCCTCCATCTTACCTTTTGCTTAGGAACAATGTTAAGGACTCTCTAATTTTTGCCATTCCCATATTCTTTGCAAAAGGTGTCCAGGGTGCAACATGTCCATGCAGGAATTGCGTGGCCATTCCCAGTTCCTAGCAGTCCATTGGTTTTTTTTGCTTTTTCTCCCTTCCTTCTCATTGTAAACACTTTCTTCTACTCTGTTCTTTTAATTAGAGTATTGCTTTTAATCAAACTGGCTTTCCTCCCCTGTTGCATTTTCTGAACTGGTGTGAAACTGTGTGGGTTGTGTATTTTGAAATAAATGTTATTTCTGGTACGCCTGTCTTGCCAAATATCCCAGCTTCCAGCCTTCAGGAAGTTTTGTTCGAAATTATATCAGCAGTTGGACTAGGTGATCATTGTGGGTCCCTTCCAGCTGAACTAGTCTATGAAATATTTTATGGAGATGGCAGCCTCAAGCACGGGAGGTACTTGGGTGCTGTGATGTCTCACCCAGCCCCACCACTGCAAACTGGCCAAGTGTAAGACCCGCCACAAGCATCGCTCTGGTCCTTTGCGATTTATTTTGCCTTTCTTCCCCCCCTCTCTTAATCTCTGGAAGTGGAAAAATAGGAAGAATTGGGTGTAATAACACAGAAATAAAGGCATGCATGGGGCTGCTGGGCTGAGGAGAAGAGGTTTCTGTATGGCTGCTATTCATACAGTGTGCGTATTCTCATTTTGGTGCTCCTGTGCTCTGCCAGAAGATCTGTGCGGGTGAGGGTCAGGCTCACAGGTGGTTTCATTGAGTGAGGGCAGAAATCAAAATCTCTGCAATTCTCTCCCATCTTCCTATGATGTTTATTTTGCGGTTTTTTGGGTTTTTTTTCTTTGAAATCACGATGGCTGTACTTCTCAGTGCAGGAAAGGCCTAGTGTTTTAATTAAAAACTTGGTTTTTGAGGGGTCCATAACTCACTGTTTTAATTTGGAGAAGGCTGAAACTTGGCAGATGCTGAAGCAATTTCAGGATCCAGTCCGCAGGCTCTCCATCTAACAGCGGCAGCAGGAGATGGTATTTCCTAGCAGTAAGATACAGTGCTCTAATTCCTTCACTTAGTGTTGCGTGTTTGGAAACGTCACTGCTGGTAACAGCGAGGCGTCTTCCAAGTGGCTGCTTTGTCTTTTCAGAGTCCAAAGATTTCATGTTTGGTTTAGGGGTCTTGGCCACAGACCTCAACATGGAGCGATTAGTGAATTAATTGATTCAAATTAATATTCAGCAGACTTTGGAAAAGCAAAATAGGGAAAAGTTTCTATTTGATTCTTACTCTACCATCTTATTAAGATTACTTTTATTAAATTTTTCTTGCTCAAACTGGGAGATCTGTGATATCTTCAAAATTAGCATATCCTTTCCGAATGGAACAGTGTCATTGCGTGTGACTGGGAAAATGCAGCAGCTTGGGAAGCGCACCAGGAGGAGTGAAAACAAAGTGATCCGTGGCCTTTCTGTTCCAGGCTAGAAATGCACTGATAAGGTCATTCAGTGGCAGGGGAGGGCTGAGGCTAGGGGTCAGGTTTGGGGTAACCTAACTCCTTTCAGGTGGCTTCAATCCATGCTGAGGGTAGAGGCGAGAGATCCCTCGGTGTATGAGTTTCATATTTTGACTCATCTAGGACTCCAACCGCTTTATTTTAAGGAAATAATGCCCAGCAGACAGACTTAACCCTGTGTATGCTTTGCTTTCAGATGGTCCTACCACGACTTTTTCAATAGGTATCGTGTTCTTATGAAAAAGAGAGACCTCTCTAAGAATGACAAGAAGCAGATCTGTCAGACCCTGTTGGAAGACCTCATTAAGGTGAGTGGGGACCAAATCTTTGGCAATGATTTTTACAGCACGGGAGCTCGTGGCTTTGATATGATCTGAATTGTTCTTCCTGCTCCTATTTCACCTGCTGCTCATGCAGGTGCTTATTCAGCCTAGGCAGCCTGGGGCTTTTTCCAAAATTAGGTAGTCTTGCAAGGAGGTAGGGGAGAGCAAGCGTGACGTAGGATTTCTTGATTGCAGTCAAGCTGAACATACCATTTCAGTGCTGGCAAGGTCTAGAGTTTCTTATCACTGACTGTACATGAACGAGTGCCCGTCTCCAGAAAACTCGTCTGGAAAACTCATCCCTCCAACCCCTCCTGCATTTCGGTAGCCATAGCTGGAGTGCATTTTGGAGTCCAGCTTTGGATACTGCTTATGATATCATGAACCTTAGTCAAAATTGGTTCTGTCACTCCATCCTTAAATGTCTCTTTGCACAAATGAGTTAAGAGAAAAATGCAATACTTGCCGTATCTTGATGTGTGGGAGACTTTTATGGCCACTAATATGTAGAAAAAGCATCCTATAGATTGGGACTTTTTCCCCTTATACGTATAAGCAAATGAGAAGTCTTTGCCACTCCTTCTTACCACAACCTTACTACTCACTCATGGGCATTTTTTTTTAAATTGCAAGTGCGCACACAAAGATTTCTTCTTGTTGTCTTGCTGTTGAGGAGCCCAGAATGTGTGCAGCATCTTAGCCAGGTTTTAATTTTTGATCCTTGTTTTCCATGTGGGTTTTTAAGGAATTCACTCGACTGGGTTTCTCTCTGCAAAAGGTTCTCGTTATGCACAAAGCGTTCGTCTTGGCTGCAGAGCCATTTGCAGTGCATGTACGACTTTGCAGGTGTAAGCCTTAATATTTTCGAGAAAGAAATCTTTTCCTGAAGTCTTCTGATGTTGCATTGCTCTATTTAACTTTAAAAAAAAAAAACAACAGAACAATCAAACCCAAGCAAACAAAAAAAACCCCAACCCCAAAACAACCAAAAAACCCCAACCACCCAACCAAAAAACATTCAAAATTTGTATAAATATATGGAACTTAAGACTGAATCCTAGTGCTGCATTCCTCAGTGGGTATATAGAAGCTCAAATAGTTTGGAGTCTAATAATATCTTCACCACCCAGTTAAGAAGAGATGCGAGCTAAGCTGATAAATTTGATTCAAAGTGGGGTTTTTAATCTGTATCTACTGAGCAACATAGACTGAAAAAAAAATGTTTGCCTTAATTAAATTTAGTTTCCTTTATGCTTTTGAAAAGGATCCAGACAAGTTCCAGTTTGGACGTACCAAGATCTTTTTCCGTGCAGGCCAGGTGGCATATCTGGAGAAACTGCGAGCAGATAAATTCAGAGCTGCCACAATCATAATTCAGAAGACGGTGCGGGGCTGGCTGCAGAGGGTCAAGTACAAAAGGCTGAGAAAAGCTGCTATCGTCATCCAGCGCTACACGCGTGGGCACCTGGCACGGAGGTGGGTCCTAGAAAGCCCTCCAAGGAAGGGCTAGCTGGCAGGTCAAGTGGAAAAATGCTTCTGGGCACTTGTATTCTCAATCCATTCCATCTTGTAGACTTCATACTTGGGGGTTTCATAGCAGAAACATTGAAAATGCTCTGCTTGGGGTGTTGCCTTTCAGCCCTGTGTAAACAAGACCCGTTTTGTGCATGTAGGTACCAGGAAGTTTTCTGTTGATGTCAGGACTCATTCCTGGCCCCTCTCTCCAGCTTTGTTTGGGGACAAAAAGATCAAAATTTCTTCTCAGTCTGATTTCAGATCTGTATTGATTTAATTTCTGGGTGCTGGGCCAGGGTTAGAGCATAGGCAGCTAGGCTGTAATCAGATGACTGAAGTGCTCTGAGATATTTAGGTGACAGTCTTTCACAGAACTAATATTTTTCTGCGACTACCTCTGGCAAAGGGCGCTTGGATCAGGCAGTGAGCGCTTTGCTAGTTGGTATGTGCTCCTCTTCTTCAGGGATCAGATTTGTGCCTCCTCAGTATCCAAGAGGAGTTCTCGGAATCGATTTGCTGTATCCTTTGTAATGAGAAAAATTCTAATTACTGGCAATGGGGCCATTTACAGTACAGAATATTAGAGCCCGGCGTTTAACTCTCTGCATGCAGGAACCTCAAGCTTCCTCGTGGTGGTGGCTTGCTGAGGTTTCGGTAGATAACGCTGCACTGGAGAGTAGGCTGCTGGTAGCAGATGTGGGGTGGGTGTGAGGGAGCAGTAAAGCAATGTAATAGCATCCCAACGCATGGGTCACCTTGCATCTTGTGCCCCTTATTCATGTCAAATGCTGATGTTCTTCTGCATCTAGCCAAGCTGGCTTCAGGCATTTTGCAGATAGGAAAAAGGAGTAGATTTGGGTCCTTTCAGTTTTGTTCCCCTTCTTGTTTTCTGCTTAGAGAAGCTGCGGTGTGTTAGGTGTATTGCTTGGTTTTGAGCAGCAATGTTCTCCCTGGCTCCGAGTTAGCACCTGCCCATCAAAAGTGCTGCTGCCTAATTTGCAACCCAATTAACTTTGCTTGCACTTGGGCAACATGAGATGCTCCTACAGGGCTCCTGCACAGTCACTTCACTCCTGATTGCTGGATGCATGTTGATTTCTATCAGTTATTGAAGCAACCAAAGGTTCCTTCCAAGGATTTCCTCCAAATCGTACTGTATTTTTGAAGAACATCAGAGATGCTAACTGAATTTGTGGTTTATTTGCTCTTGTGAAAGGGATTGGCCTCTGGGAGAATCCAAGAGGGATGAGGAGGTCTCAAATGAGCAAAGCTGGGCAGTTTGGTGACTTTTATTTAAAAGTGAGCACAGATTTTTCTTGTCCCCAGAGGTCCATGTACTTCTCTAGGCTCGTGGCTGCAGGTCTCTCTCAGCAGCCTTACAGCTCATTTGAAGACAAGGCAAATGAGGCTTAAGCAATAAGAGGAAGGTTAAGAAAAAGGAGGACTCGGTGATTAACTTTAGCCTCTCCATGCACACTTACAGACTTGGACTCTGTATTTACCTTTGCATCAGCCAACCTTTCCTCTAAGGAGGGGAGGAGGAATCCCTGGTGATGTCGGAGTGACGGGGTATGAGCTAAAAGAGAGGCTGGAAACAGATGTACAGAACCCACCTGCTGCAGCGTTTCTTTAATGTGATTTTTCAGTTCACCTCTTCGTGCTGGTTTCGTAGGGATGAGTGTCATCGGAATAACTGCTTTCTCTTCTTTTTGGAATCAGACCATCCCTTGTCCTCTTTAGTAAGCTCTGGTTCAGTGGGTCCTAATGAGAAACCATCATCCTTGACAACGAGAATATATAAGCCGATCTGATACGGCTCTTTCAGTTTTGATCTGCTTTTCACAAAATAAAGTAGTGGATCAAATATCTCTATAATGCTTCATGCTGAGAGCACTAAATGAATCATAAATTCAGCAAAACAAGCTAATTATCAAATTAAATGGAGGTTTTATGGGCATTTATTAACCTGTGTAACTGCAAATTGAACATGAATTCAGTTGGAGCACGGGAGCAACACGGCACAGAGTTGACCACATTTCTCATTATTTACACTTTGTGAATGGCCTGGGGCTCTGCTCATGAATGTTGCCAAACCAGTGCACACCAGTTTAAATGTCAAATCGATTTGCGGCCGTTTTCACTGTGTTGGTAGATACCCTGTGCGATGTTTGCTTTTTATAGTTAGAGAAGTGATGGAGCCAACTTGGACATCGACTGGCTCAAGTACCGAAGTCAGAGAGTTCAAACCAAGGGAAAAGATGGAAAATAGTTGGTTTTACTGCTGTTTAGGAATAAAGAGGTGTGTTGATTCCTGGTTCCGGTGCTCCTGGGTGCCATGGACGCTGTCTGATTGCACAGGTGTTCTCGTTATTCTAAAGGAGACGTGCTATCAACTACCTTTTTTTCTTAGCCCTACTGCTGAGATCTTGAATACTGTCAAGCTACTTTGGGACAAAAAGGTTTTCTCTCTGTCCAGTTTAAAACTTATTATGACAGAAAGAAGGAGAGTTTAGTTTTACTGCTACGCTTTTTCCTGGGCTTTGCAGACTTGCTGAGTACCTGAGGAGGACGAGAGCTGCCATCGTCATCCAGAAGCAGTACCGAATGCTGCGGATCCTCCGAGCTTTCCAGAGGGTCCGCAACGCAACCATCACCATTCAAGCTTTTGCTCGGGGCATGTTTGTCAGGAGGATTTATCACAAGGTATGACTCCATGGGGTGTCTTTGCATTAGATAAGAGTAGGAATAGCCTTTATATTTACCTCCGCTGGCGCAGCATGACGATGTATTTATTGTGGCCGTTTTGATGTTTTACGAAGCTGACTGCCTCTGGTGTTTCTGGAGAGCACACGGTGACGGCGAGCATTACCATTTAAAGCTGTGCAAGCAAAAATTATTTTGGCAGCAGCACCTCAGCGGCGCAGCTAAATGAAGTTAGTCATTTGGATGCTGGAAGGCATTGTGGAAATCTGAAAATGTCATTTGATCTGACCCATACTCTGCAAAAACCTCCCTGGCAAACCAGATTTGTGTCTGAGCTGTGCTGCAGGTGCTGTTTCCCGTATGGTAGGAAGAGCAGTAGGGTCTGTCATGGAAGGCATCAAGTCATTTATTGATATAAATCCCTCTTTAATTAGTTCTCTCCATTTAGCTTTCTGTGTGAAACCAGGAGCTGAAAACAAGGAAGTAAAGGTTTGATAACAGCAAATGATAGTGAGAAATTGTCTGTCAGGAAACGAGAACAGCTTTGGGGAATCTTCTGTCCTCTCTTCAGAACCAGCCTTACTTCAGCAGTCACCAAAATTTATGCCTAATGGGTGGTCATGGGGGTACTCTAAGAAGTCAGAGGCTTGATGAGCCAGGAGGGGAGAGCCTGCTCCTGGAGATGATGGAGGCTACCTGGACACCTGGTGACCCACCAGAGAGATCAGTGAAGTCCTACAAAACAGAGCAGCTGGATGCTGGTGATCAGGAATTCATGCTGCCACTGCTTTTTTGGCATTTTTTTTTTTTTTTAAATTGGAAGCCTCTGCAGGGGAGGCAGCTGGTCCAGCATTTAAACTCTGAGATTCAAGGCAACCCAAAATCTTAACAAGGTGTAGAAGTTGGCTGAAGGTCAGGCCTCTCAAATCTGAACATCCTTAATCTCTGGAGCACCTGGATGTAGGTGTCAGTTCAAGTGCATGCTCAGTAACAGATGCAGGGCTGCAGGTGGTGTTCCATGGGGTCAGGGTATGTCCAGTGCCCCCCAAGACTTTGCTGTAAGGCTGGAAGAGGCCCCCAAGGCAATGCAGTAAGGTTTCTTCTATTTGTAAGAGTGTGAAGTCTAGAGGCATACAAAGCTCATGTCAGAGTAACTCCTACTGCATCCTAAGTTCACACGATCCCTTTATTCTGAATTAAAATTTGCAAGTGCAAAGAAAGCCCTAGGGTGAAACAAAAGATTTGTGAGAAGCTGGTACAGTACCATTTCTGATACAACTTATGCCAAACTAATAACAGCAAAGTGTCTTGTAATCTTTAAAATCTCCTGGTATTTCTTTCCTCGTAATACTGCAGCACAGATCAACATGAAGTTACTAATAACGTGCTGGTGGTATCTCTGATATGTCAGCCTTCGGTTTTAGCAGAAGGAATTGAACTGCCCCCTACCAAAAAGATTGCTGTAAATTTTGGGGGAGAAATTCAATGCAGAAGTGCCAGAAGCTTCACAAAACCAGATATAAGTTTCTAAAAATTGCATCATGCAAGAGAACTGGCTGCAAACTGTAGTGAAAGGACTCCAGGGTTTTATTTGAAGGTTATCCCTGTGATAAGAAACCCCACCAGGACAGCATTTATCTGCAGTATAAATTATCATAATGCAGGGACAGAACACAGGAAAAAAAAAAGTCTAAAATTCTGTTCTGGTGTGAGTTATATCTGATGCTGAAGGGACAGTAAGCTTAAGGCTAAGTGTTGGTGTGTCTTTTAATGGCCGTTTGTTCTGCTAGCTATGGATATGGTGGATCTGAGTACTATTCCGAGGTGGAATGTGTGGTCTATTCTATGAAGTATGACAGCCCAGATGTCTCCTGTCCCCATCGAGTCTCCTAGTCACCAACTCAGGACCATATCCCCTCTTGTTTCACTGGCCAGGCAGATGTTGCCTCTTTTTGGAGAGCAGCACAGTTCCTAAGAGAGGACTGGATGTGCCCTGCCTGTGTTAGTTGAGTGCAGTGACCGGAGAAACCCCCGAGGAGGAGGAAGTTGAAGCACCCCTTCCTGTCTATAAAAGAGGATGCACAATAATAGCCTCTATCTCCAGCCTTCACCCTCTGCACCTACCAGGACACTCCTGCTTGAAGGAGAAGCCCTTTCAAAGGCAGATTGGGAAGTGTTGAGTGTCATGTTGCAGCCAAACCAAGGCTGCTGCTACCTTTGCAGGTGACTTTTCTCCCTTGATTGTCCCATTTCTGCCCTGTGTTTTGTAGATCCTTGCAGAGCACAAAGCCACCATCCTCCAGAAGTACGCCCGTGGCTGGCTGGCCCGCACTCGCTTCCGCCGGGTCAGGGGTGCCACCATCATCCTGCAGTGCTACTACCGGCGCATGAAGGCCAGGCAGCAGCTGAAGGCACTGAAGATTGAGGCCCGCTCGGCACAGCACCTGAAGAAGCTCAACATTGGCATGGAGAACAAGGTGGTCCAGCTTCAAAGGAAGATCGATGAACAGGTACGTCCTGAGCTGTGCTGGGACAAGTGTGGTCCCGCTTCTGCTTTGCCTCTCTTGTGCTGTCCTTTCTGGGAAGGTTTTTATCTTCCTGTGGCATCTGGGAAGGATGTCATGGTGGTGGCAGCCTTCTGCTACTGCTGGCCAGACCCTTGTAAAGGTGGGACAGCAGCACGGAAGTGTAGATGCACTTGGATCTTGGGTCGCCACCTTGCTGTCTGAAGAGCTTGCTCAGTAAGCTGCAAAAGCTGCATTGTAATTGTTGTGAGAAGTGCCCAGAAGGACTCAGAGGAGGGAGATAAAATGGCAATTTTGAAAGCTGTTGCTTGAAAACGCAAGCCAGCTCCGCGTGAGATCCCTATGACAAAAAGGCTTTGGCCGTTAGACTTTCTGCTTGCAAGCACTAAGGATGCAGAGCCTGCTGTACTGAACCATATGTCTTGTAAGTCACAGGACCCGGAAGGTAGAAGGTAAATTGGATAAATACTTTGCAAAGTACTTTAAGCATGTTTGTGTTGCTGGATGTAACAACTGTTCAGAAGTAAGAGCTGTGATGAGGGGTGAGATGGCGCCTTGTAGTGGTAGATGCCTGTGTGGATGGCTTGATGGTCTTACTGTGACTACTTGATCACAGAGAGGTCTTCATCAAATGCCATCAAATGTCATTAGTGAGCTGTGAAATAGTTGTGTGATTACACATGTAGAAGAAGGGTTTTCCCACCTACTAATCTGAGTGTGCAAGTTACTCTGATAAATACCTTCTATGTTGCTTCCGATGCTGTACAAGGACTTCAGGGAGGAGTTTAAGAAATATTGAGTAGACCCATTTGCGTCCACTAATTTCAACAGGGAACTTCATGTCCACCTATATCCTTAAACTGTCCTTTTACAGGCAGGAGAAACATTCTCTGTAAGTCAGGATACCTACTTATTTGTATTACCAGTTATTAGTAACTGCAGTTTATCGTTCTCTTTGGGATGCTGTCAGGAACCCTTACACATCACACGCGGTTTCCTCACAGCCTTAAATCTCTCCCATCCCTGTGTGACACAAGAGGTCCTGCCATGAAGAAGATGAGAAATGACTCTGCGTTGGCTCAGATATTGCAGAGTCAAGACACCCGGGGATTTGCATTACTGCTGGCCACTTTCATTGCTGTATTAATTGGCTGCGAAGCGAGCACCGCAGTAGAGCCTGACTTTTAAACCGTGGTGTTTAATTTGAAGATGGCTGCTTGCATGCTTAGATTTTGCAGACAAAACTGTAGCTTAGGAACGGAAAACCTTAGGCATAAGGTTTTCTATATATTTATGTATTGGAAACCTATTTGATATGACCCTTCGTCTGGAGGGTATTTGGTGGAATTAATGAGGACAAGTCATAGAATAGAACCATAGAATCGTAGAATTGCTTAGGTTGGAAAAGACCTTTAAGATCATCAAGTCCAACCGTTAACCATCCAACTGTCATTTCAGGTCCACGTATTTGGGGTGAACTCATGCAGTGAGCATGAACGTCTGTTAGGTCTGCTGAGCTGCTGGACTTGGCGGTAGAGCAGCAGTATTTTATTTATTTTTCTTGCCCCCAAATTCTTTGCCATTTGCTGCTAGGAAAAGTGGGAGGGAGGGGGAGTGGAACAATAAGGAAAAAGAAAACCTTTGGTTAATGTTGGCTTTCCTGTCGTGGATTAGGAAAGCACCAGAAAGGTCTGCTTTGGGGAAGGAGACACGGAGAGCTTTCAAGTAGGCAGAAATAATGGGCTGGAGCTCATCTTGATGTCTCTTGGTCTCCACGCAGAGCGTTTTCGAGGAGTGACTTTGCTTTCTGTGTAACTTTTGCAGGAAAGAACTGCTGCTCTGTATTATTCGTGGTAGTCTGTCCACTGAGCTAATTTTAACCGTCGTTTCAGGACTGACAGGTTTCCCTGGGATGCTTTGGATGTGCTGGTGAGCACTGTTCCCGTGGACTTTTTTTTCAGCACACTGGATTATTTTTTTTTTCTGGCAACAGCGAGTTTGTTGCCTCATATTTTCCATGAAGTATCTTGGTTTCAGCCCTTGCTAATCTATAAACATGACCTTTGAAAATACCAATTAACTTTTTACAAAAAAAAAAAAAATTGCAGGTAACCCTGGGGAACTGCAGTTGTATCATTTTTTGACTAGCCATGGAAGAAAATGTTTCTATTTCTGCTACTTTAGCTCATGCATGAACAGAGAAATGCAATACTCCGTGTGCCCCTGAGGAAGAGGTCTTCCTCTGAAAACATTAAAACCTATTGTTGCATGTCAGCCTCAGCTCACATGCTCTAGCATCCGTAACTGGGCCTATTTAATTCCATTTCTAAATCAGGTGAGGGATTTTTTTTTTTTGCACTCACAAGAAAGCTTTAAATCTGTTTTGCCGTGAAATGTCCGCATTGGACCACTTTTTTTCTGTCCACATTGGACCACTCCTGTTCTTTTCAGTTAAGTGAGGTTTTTTCAAATATGTATGTGGTAGCTGCCTGAGACAGTTTTAAAGCTGTTACCTAATTTAGTGTTTATGCAGCCAATATTTAGACTCGCAGCGAGCTCCCTACACTATCTCTGCAAGCAGCAGCATCTCTGCGAGCATTTTATTGTGAATAAAACCACTTTGGGTAACGGTAGCGATGAAGTTGTTGTCTCTGCCTTTGGTAGCACAAGAAATTCTAGGTTGGTTCACAGAGCCTGGGCTGAAACAGGGACCGTCACAGCACTGCTGGGCTGGAAAATGATTTAAAATACAACAAGTTTAAGTTTAATGGGGTCTGAGCAATCTCTGATTGCAGTGGGGACCAGCCATTTTGCTACGGGGATGGTAAATGGTCTCTCATGTCTCTAGTAGCCAACAACAAGAAAAAGTATTCTTGTGCATTTATCTTCTATCGGGAATGAAGTTTCAGTTGGGCTGGTATGTAAAATTGTATACAAATTGGGACACAAAGCCATAAAACATGGTGTGTTGGAGAATGAGCAGAGGTGGGGGGAGCAGCAGCAATCTGTGAACCGGAGTGGTGGTTGCCGTTCTCCGTAGGCAAAGCTTTTCTCTCCAAATGTATCTCGCTGGAAATGGCTTTGGTCATGGGAAAATCTTAATTCCTTAATACTGCACGAATGCTGAATTTTGATGTTTGCTACTGATTCATTACAAAGGAGCAAAGGAAAAGATGTTCATGTCCCTGATTTACTTGTTTTTCCATTTGAGATGTGTGTTAATCTTGCTTCGGTGAGCTGAGACTGCAGCGCGAGTGGGGTGCTTTGGGAGGTCACCTAGAGAGGGGCCAAAAGGATGATCAGAGCGATGGGAGAAGAAACGGTCCTACGAGCCACATGGGGAATCTAAAAGAGACTAATCTGAGGCATTGGTGGGGATTTCAGTATCCACCAACTCACCATTTATTTGTGCCAGGGTCTGTCAGGTTTAGAAGAACGTGTGTAGACCTAGAAGACAAAATTCTCTACTTTCATGGCTTTTTTTTCTTTCCCAGGCTGTAAGGTTCTCTGAAAACTCTGTTGTACAGGAGCTTATGGGAACCTTTGATCCTATTACAGACATCAGTCCTCTTTGCGTTGAATTTTTTTTTTCTGGCTCACTTGACTCTAGTGAATATCTTAGATGAAGAAGTTGCATCTCAGGATCTGTGACTTTGCACCTTTACTGCTTATCCTGACCAGTCAAAAATTGTCTATCAGGACTTCCCTAGTCCATTGACTTTTTAAAATTATACATTTGTGTCTTTTTAAGGCTTTTGTCTTCTGGCTTGTTCATCTCAAGCTTTTCTTAGCTTCCACATGAACTGAAAACTTCTGGATGAATGGAGCAGTTTCTCATGAGCTGGTGTGACTCTGCAAAACCGCAAAAGGCTAAGTTGCCAATTACCAGGACTCTGATCTGGCCTGGACAACAAACTCTTGCCAAATATTTTCCAGCAAGACCAGGAAAGACCAAACCTGATATTTCTGATGCTCAAGCACAATATCCACCAAAGTCCAATTTAAGAAAGGAGAGCTTTTTGGATCATGTGTACGCTGAGTGATGTGAACACAGGTCTTTAAAGCTGTTTTGAAAGCTTTCAAAAAGAAAACTTTAAAAACTGGACTACATTCTGAATTTCAAAACAGTTCTTTTGCTCTCATGATTATGTACCTGATGTTAGCAAAGCTGCGTGGTAGGCTCTTTACTGAAGTTCTTGGTCTGTCATGAATTCATTGTCATTTCTGGGGCTAGCTAATAACGATAATGTTTTAGTCACAATGTAGTTCCCATTGACTTTGATTTGAACCACAAAAATCAAAGCTGCTGAATTTTCAGGTCTCAAAACTTGGGAGCAAATCATTGCTAAGTGCTTTAAAAGAGAAAATCTAAGCAAATAAAAAGATGATTGAGCCGGCACATGACTTAAAGCTGAGGTTTAGGGAGGTCTTTGTGCTCAGGGCTGTAATTATTCTACAGTGCATTGTCACCCCAGGCTCCTGCAGGCATAAGAGTCAGGAATAAAAGGATAAACTGCAAACCCAACATTGCCAACCAAAAAAATTGCAAGCAAATTGCATTAAGCAACGTTGTTTGGAAGCTGTAATAAAAATGTAGGTTTTTTCGTTTGTTTGCTAGTGCTATTACGTGTTGTTTGCCTTTGCTTCAAGTGTAACATCAATTTAACAAATGCTTGTATAATCATTAGCAAAATATTATTGAGCTTTTGTCACAGTTCTGAAATTGGTTTTACCTGTATGAGTTATTAGTATATGCATGGAAATGTTCCTTATCGGAAGTTCGTTATCCACCACGCTCAAGGATTTTTTGACCTTTACTTTTGTAGTGCACGAGTGCGTGCACTAATCTTGCTTATGGTCTTACTTTCTTCTTTTGGGGATGAACAGAACAAGGAATACAAACTTCTGAATGAGCAGCTGTCTACGCTCACATCTGCCCACTCCTCCGAGGTGGAAAAGCTGAAGAAAGAACTGATGCAATATCAGCAGAGCCACGAGGGTGACGGCAACCAACTTGTCAGCTTGAAAGAAGAGATGGAGCACCTCCATCTGGAGCTTGAAAAAGCTCATGGTGAGAGGAAGGTTGTGGAAGACAGCTACATTAAGGAGAAAGACCTACTGAGAAAGGTACGTGCATTTGTCATGTCTCATGTTGTGTAGGTGGTCCTGCTGGTGAAAACTTGCTCTTCACACATCGGAAGGGGAAAGACTTAATTTATATTCTATAAATATTTTTTTTTTCTTTTTGTCAGTGAATGCCCCTAGAATTTGCCTTTTAACCAGATCATGGGGCAGCAAGGGCAGGTGGACATCCCTGCAGGAGCAGTGACTGCTTCATGTCAGAAGGATGCCCCTTCTCAATGCCTTTTGCACTGCCAACCATGAAGAAACTCCCCAGACCAGTCTGAAACAACGGCACTTAATAACCATGGATACGCCACAGAGCTTTGTGTATATACAGTGATTCTTCATGGTGGGTAATGCAAAGTATTGGAGAAGGCTGTTGTAGATGCTATAAATATTAGGAAAGCGTCCTCCCTCAGCCCAGCTGGGTATCGAACGCGAGGGTTCGGTTTCTGCCATGCGGTCCGTGGCCATTGCAGCTGGTCATAGTGGCTGGTGTTGTAGCTATGTGCAGAGTATGACCTGTGTGGGGACCAACTCATCTCTCCCAAGCAGGGCACTGCTCCAACACCAGCTAGGCTGGTTGTTACAAGCCTTCATAGGGTTTGGAGCTGTAATGTGGACTAAACTTTTTTATTTTTTTCCCCTCCTTCAGGCAAACTCCTAAGCTTTCTGGATCTCTTGAGGTGAAGGTGGCCCAACAGTGCCACCATTGTACAAGAAAGCATTCTAGCAGGAGAAAGAGACTTCAGAGTGTAGAGTTTTTTTCCAAATAGTAAAAATGGACGTTTTACACTGAATTTCTTTGGTCAGGTTCATTCTGAATAACCTTTGTGCCCATGCTTATAACCTAAGGTACAAAGCTATGGGTTCAGTTTCCTGCTGCGAATGCTTATGGCAGCTCAGGCTAAATCCGTGATCTGTTGTCTTCTGCACTGGTGGTTGAAGTGGTTTCTTTGATCCTGTTATTGGAAAGAACTTAGGGCTTTTCTACTCAATGGGTTGCATAGAAAAAGCTATTTTGCAGCTGTTACTCTAGAATAGTGCATTTTTGGAGATAAAAAGAGGTTTGTGATTAGCTGTGTTTTAATTATGGTAATATTGCGTCCAGATGAGTCTCTTCTAGGGCACTTCACTCCCCAGCGCCTGCCCTGGCCAACCTCTCCTTGTGGGTAAGCCCTCAGATGGTGGGTTTGGATGAAAAACTGTGGGGACTGTGTGGTCAGGGATAACTTAATCTGAACAACTAGCAGAGCTGAAATCCATTTTTGGGTGTGCTTCTCAAAAGGGCATCCGGCCTGTGCGCGTGTTGTCTCTTGGCTGGACCAAGAGCTGTCAGAACAGCAGTTCCTCTGCTCTTTGCACATGTATTCCACCCACACAGGGACGTATGGAGTCAGTGATTTTCTTTTCTGCAGCACCAAATTTGAAGATCCTTTTTGGCACAGGGCTCAGTTCATTAGCTGGCTGCAGTACAGGCTTTTAGAGCCTGAAAGGATGCTTTATTTTGAAGGTGATGCAGCTGGGGAAAAGCTGCTTCTCTTTGTTCTTGATTGCAAATCCCCTTCAAGCACTCAGAAGAAAGGTTGACTTAATGACCAAAGAAATGCTTTCAAAAAGCATGAAAACAAAGCAAAAGCTTTCCCTTGCTGTAGTAATGCCTACAGCAAAGGAAATACTATGTGCTTTACCATGACAATAAATGGTTTAATTGTAAAACATTTCTACTGAGCAGTGCAGGCTCCCATTTCTGATGCTGGCTTTCAGTTGCTCCCTTAGGTTCCTCACAAGTGGGAAGATAGGGAAGATCTGTTTCCTTCCTGGAAACTTTTGTTTAGCCGAAACACTTTCCGAGAAAAATCCTGATAGAGATTTTTGAGTTGTTCTCATAACTACCAAAAGTGGGGGGAGTGTTGTGAAACTGAATTCAGGTGTGAGAAGCACTTTCCACCTTCAAGAGCAAGACCACACTGTGGTTGTCATGGGTTGCGTGCTCTCTGGAGATAATACCCCAAATCATCGGACACTTCCGAGTGAGACTGGGGCGACAGCCTTAATTTTATTGACTTGAGCTGGGGCTGCAGCTTCTGCAAATCCATATTAGTTATGATTTTGTTACTGAAGAAAAGTCCTTTAATCTCTTCCTTATAGCTTTTTCTCTCCAACTCTTTAATTTTAGCTCCTCTTATTCCATTTTGTGATAAAGTTTAAAACATCAGATCTGGGTGAGTACCAACAGCTCTTCCTAGGGCTTTCAGCACCTAATCTTCTCAGTGAGCTAGGATGATTCAAATCTTGGCCAGGACTTTTATTAGGAAAATACTAAATGCCATCATCCTTTCCTCACAAGATCAAGGGAGGACCGGAGCCAGATCTCATGAGCAGGTGATTCCAGTGTAACACTTAAATAAGGGCTGAATCATATAATCGTTTAGGTTGGAAAAGACCTTTAAGATCATCAAGCCAAATCGTTCCCCTACCCCTGCCATCCCACCACTAAACCCTGGCCCTAAGCACCTCGGCTGCCCGGCTGTTAAATCCCCCCCGGGGCGGGCCAGCCCCTTCCAGAGCCTGACAACCCCTTCTGTGAAGAAATTTTTCCTAATGTTTAACCTAAACCTGCCCTGGCACAACTTATCATAGAATGTTTTGGGTTGGAAGGGACCCCTAGAGGTCATCTACTCCAACCCTCCTGCAGTGAGCAGGGACACCACTAACCACATCAGGTTGCTCAGAGCCCCATCCAACCTGGTCTTGAATGTTTCCAGGGAACTTCAGACCATTTCGCCTAATCACATCGACCATTACTAGGGAGAAAAGGCCAACCCCCACCTCTCTACAACCTCCTGTCAGGCAGTTGTAGAGGGCGATCAGGTCTCCCCTCAGCCTCCTCTTCTCCAGACTAAACA